GGTCACATAGAACTCTCAATGTGCGCTTTCGGCTTTGTCCTCAATCCGGTCTAACTTTGGGAAAGCACGCGATAAGCTTTATCGGTAGAAGTGTTGACACGTCGACGCTCACCTTGTCCCAGGTGCTAAACCAGAGCCTTTAGCTGGCCAAGGTTTGATCGAAAACGAAGCGGTGTTTAGAAACCACCATACATTGAGGATTGGTGTTCAGTTAACCGGATCATACGTCCATTGAATGAGATCAAACTTCCAAGGTGCCCAACACAACTCGATTCCTAATCAAGCCCGTGACCAAACCCGAACCGGGAAGGTGTGATTTGTATGCCTGTTCTTGGATAGTTTGAAGTCAAGGATTTCATACAACTTCGTAGGTGAACTGCGCCTCTGTAAGCCTCAGTAGGATCGGGATGGGCGTCTCTGGTTGTGGATGATTTACCTTCCCATGCATCTCGCGAAACGCTCCCATGACCGAGCGTCTCAAGCAGCCCGTGCTGAGCAAGCCCTAACCACTAACTCCTCTTGGGGGAGATGTTTTCCACCAAACTGAGAGCACAAAAAGACGAATTCGGGGATAAAAATGGGTTGGTGAACCAATGCAAGTCACCTAGGGGAGTTGGTATGAAGAAACAAGCCGTATCATCGATGAAGAGCTTTCATCTCGTGCGGTAAAATACATCAAACTAGTATCAATATAGGAAAGGATTTTATACAATTTTGAGCACTTCGCAAAATAGCCTTCAAAACAATTCAATATTCTATAATTTGTTTAATATTGAAACGCTTACTTCTGGTCCAGGGACAAATGTTTGATCAGACCAATAGCAGCAATTCTCTTCTGTCTCACTTAGTTCAGTCTGAGATGTTGCTGATACGTTTAACTTCTTGAGAACGCTAGGTTTAATGGGACAAACCGAAGGCGCAAGGATCTTTGTTGATTCCGTTGGTTTTACTGGAATTCCGGATGGGAGACGCTGAACATCATTAGTTGATTCTGTTCCTTGTTCATAATTAGAGGTATGACAAGTATTCGAAATGATAAACTGAATCGCAGAGGAGGCCGCGGCTTGGCGTGCTCCGGCAACAGCTCGTGCATCCTCCGGAATTGGTTGGCAGAAAGTGAAAAAGCTTGGTGAGAGAATGTTGCGATCCATAGGCTCTTCGTCTTCGTGATCCTTTCCATTAGGAAAATCATCGCTCTTTTCACAAGTGTCCACTTCCGATGCGGGATTCCGGAGGTTTTCGACAACCACTTTCGAGCATGTGGGTGTGGGTAATGAACGTTTCATAACTAACTGATGAGATACCATGGGTTTTNGGGTTTTGCTCCCTCCCGGACTATAAGGGCTCTGGTCGGTGGCAGAAGGGAGAGTAAATCTCTGCCAGTTTGCGAAGCAGGTTTCTGACTAGGTTTCAGAGGACGCTAAAATAAAATCATAAGGATGGATCCTGGTGTACATTTAAAATAAGCTTCTCAAGTGAAACAATGTGATGCGCTACAAACAGACAAATCAAAAAAAAAATAACTGCAGCAAATTGCAACGAAATGCTAATGCTACAACCAACGATCATCTGACCTGCCAAGAAATCTGATGCAAACACAAAACAGCGAAATGTATTCCTCAATTTTTCTGCTGCTCTATCACCCAGAAGCGATAAACAGAAAAACTAAATTCTTTATTTTTATACCCATACACCGAAGTGGCGGAAATTTTAATGCTGCGTTTATATATACATACATAATTACATCCTTGCACACATATCAGCTCAGTTCAGTTTGCACAAACATTTACCATGCACCTCCGTGCGCCGGGTTTGGTTGCTGTCTTTTGATCGTCCATTAGGATGAACATTAGGAAAAAGACAAAAAATAGGATCAAAGAGAAAATTTCGAATTTCAATGGACTCATTTTGCAGAGATTTTGAGATGCACGAACGCCAATGTTGACGACATTCAGCCATATCACTCAGTGTCTCCAACCACCGGTTACCATCATCTCGAGGTCCCCATCCAAGGAGACTAACGGGACCTATGTGACTGAGTCTTCTGGTTAGGGTTTTCATACCTTCGTGCGAGGTCTCTTGAAAGCCTCAGTATGGTCGGGGGTGGGTGTCTTGAGTTGCGGCTGGTCACCCTCCCTTGCACGTCATGAAATGCTTCTATATGACCAAGCGTGTCAAATAGGAAGCCCTACTCACTGCCTTCGCGTGACGGATATATTTTTCCCACCAAAGTGAGAGGACGAAAAGCCGAAATCTGGCGTTATAATCAGGTCGGGAACCACTGGCGTTTCATCTAGGAGAGATGGCTAAAAACCCTGATTCCAAACCAACCAAGAAGAGGTGCACGAACCACCCACACCTTTCTGGTCGTGACACGGTCACCGGCTCGATTGGGGATCTAGGTGTATTGGGCACCTTGGACGTTTGACCTCGTCCGAAGGGCCTGTGATCCGATGAACCGGACACCGGCCCCTAATGGAGCGGGGACTCTGAGTGCCGTCCTGTTGTCTTGCAGGTCAGGCTTTCTAGTCAAAGGATTCGGGTGGGGACCCCGAGGTTATCCCCTTCTTCGGCCAGGGCAACCGGGAAGTAACATGCCCAAACAGCTTATGAAACACATTATACATTTTCGAATTTTTGGCTCTAACTAACTATGCGCTCTTTGATCGAGGTGTTGGCGGTCGGCTCCACAGATTTACACGTTACCACACCAACAGATC